TTAATGTCAGCCGAAATTATAAATCTTAATTTTACTGAAATTATAAATCTAATTTTGACCGGAATTACAACTTATAAAGTTTGGCAAACTCGCAAATTAACATAAATATTATCACATGATTAAAAGTTTGGCAAACTTTGTTCACCCTAGGGCCCCTCAAGGGGCAACCACATCATTGATGTGGGATGGATTTGTTTGAAGTTCCTTTGTCACTTCAAACCCACTTTCGTTAAATCCTATCCTCTCAAACGCTAGGCAAGATCATGTACTTATACGTTTTATATTTCAAAAAATGAGGTATGTTCTAATGACTTTATTTTAATAAAATATAATTATTATAATTAAAATTATACTAATACAGTATATTTATTGAAATCGATAATCCATATGTTCATCTTTTGTAATCGCAAATACAAAAATCTCCAACTCTAAACCATTGTTCCTTTTCGATTTGCCATCTTTTATACCTTTCTTCAAAGTCTTCAAGACTTTCATCTTCTTTGATACCCCACCCATCTGCAAATCGTCGTTCAGGTTCAGGAGGTACTGATCCACATTCGATAATTATAATTTGCATTTCGTCAAATCGTGTTGGTTTAATTTTTGCATCTTTATTTACCGTCTCTCTATTTTGAACAGCGACCGACATTACATGTTGAACCGTAGGTGAGATTCCTAATACTTCAGCAATATCTTGATAATATTCTTCTTTAAAAAGTCCCAAGTACGAAAAACCTGGAGTACAAGGATTAAAAGACATATTGATTATTCTTTTTTTATTCAAAATATTTTTATTTATTGATTTTTTATAACGTAAACATAACCTTTATATAATAAATAGAAAATTACAAATTTCTATATTTAGATAAATTGTTATTTTTATTGATTCAAAAATAAGAATATTCTTAATCATGAATTTACGATAATGAAACTATGTCTTGAATTATTACTAAATCCACCTATAATTTTTAAATAATGACCATAAAGCGCTAACCTTATTTACATTAATATCACAAACCTCCTGTGCACGAGTCTTAATAAAATTGCCATTATAATTTCTTGCAGCATTAACGATACGATAAAGACAACCTAAATAAATTTCTGGACTTATACGTAAAATATTACATATCTCTTTTTCGTAAATATGAAGATCATTATAAAACGGATAGCTCGAATAATCTCTCATTTTACTTAATCGCCAAGTTACATTTACCTTTGGCATAATAATTTTTGAATAATCCAAATTTAAAGATTTAACCAATGAAATTAAATCGGATTGAGAATTGGATAATAATTCATTCGATAAATTATCTGATTCGGTATAATTCTCAAGAATGACTTGTTTCAAAAGTTGTGAATTTTTCATATAATTATCATAGATAGAGAATCTCATGATAACACCAGTACCATCATCTACTGTGGTATATGTACGTGTTGATTTGCGTTTAGAATGATAATTTGTCATATTTACCGAAAAAATATATATCATTGTTGTATTTATATCAATTCAACTGTACTATTTATAGAAATAAATTCAGATAACCCTAAAAGTCTATTTATAACAAATTGATTATCGATACAATAATTTTAATTTATTATGTAATTTACGTAATATAAATTGAATAACCATATATGGATAACCTCAAATATTCGAATAATAACCAGTGGTACGTAATGCATCAAGAAAACCCTTCCACAAATTATCTTCATTCCTACGTCGCCAAATAAACTCTAATAGATGATCATCAATAAGACCTTTGTTACGATTTCTAGGTCGAACCTTCAATTTGACACCACCCCAAGTACCTTCAATAGTATTTGTATGTGCTCCCGTCTCAGGATCCACAAAACATTCATTATGATTTACAGTCATGTGAGTAACCCCCAATTCTTCAAGATCTTTATATCCTCTCCAACAATCGGTCATTATTATAGATCCCGGTTTAATATATCTTACAATAATATCTCTAATAGTATCGGCATCTCTCTTTTCCACGACTCTCAAAAACATCTTTCTCTTATCATTACGTTCAATACCCCCAATTACCCATGCACCATCAACTAACCGACCTTTATGATACTTTCGAACACCAAATTTTGACTCATCTATCTCTACAATCACATCTTTACCACCGATAGCACTCTCCT